AAATATTAAAAGAAATTCACAATATAGTATTTGTAGTATATAATTTTATTTTAAAGTAAGAAAACTACTAATTGGAATGAGTTATAATTTTTTCTTCTTCTAAACAAACATATTATTTTATTTTTTATTTGGATTTGTCACACTATCGATTAAATAACATAAGTGAGTTTGAATTAAGTTATGCATTTTTTTATATTTAATTGAGCATTCTTTACATTTTTAAATGGTGGAGTTTATTAATACTTCTAATATTATATAATTAATGATAGATGTTTGGCGTATTGAACTGCAATTCTTTATATTTTTAAAACTTTATTTTATTAAATTTGTTAATAATTTATTTAATATCATTTAATAATAATGAATGTTGCAATTAATATTTGAATTAACAGTATTTATACAATTATTGTTAAATATATCATAATAAGTTAATGTGCTTGGATGGTTAGGAGTGATAAATGTATTAAGATGTCACAAGTTCTATTCCTAATGAATGCATTTTTTTCGATTATTTATCAAATAAATCTCGGTCACAATGAATTTAAATTAATTATTTAATTAAAATATAGTAGGGGGTAAATTAGACAATTCAATGTTAATCAATTTTATATTAATTTAATAAAAAAAATAATCGAAGGATAATTTGGTAAAGTACTTCATTTTTTAGAACATAAGCCATGTTATTTTCCTAGGGTCCAGATTTAATCTTAGAAAATTAATGGTGATTAATGCATATCTCATATATAAAAGTTTAGAACATGGGGTATCTCACCCTAGACAAACCCTGTTTTTAAATAGCCGATAAACTTTTACATCTTATAAGTTGTTTTGAGAATTGGTAAGTTGTTATGTCTTATTTTTAAAATTAATATTTAATTTGGATAATAAACTTATAAGTTGTTTATATAAAAAAAAATATCAAACACTTCGACACAACTTATTTTTGGAAATTTTTATAAGGAAAATATCAAACACTTCGACTGTTCGACATAACTTATAAGCTATTAAAAAACAACTTATAAGCTTAACCAAACACCCTTCCTCTGATCCGCCATTTGGAAAAGCTTATGCAAAAATAAAAAAGTACTTGTTGTGAATAAATTTTGGTCTAATTGTTTATTTTAAAAAAATGAAGATAAAACAAATGTGCTGAAAGATTGATTTTAATAATATTATTTAGAAGTTGTAGCATTTGTATTCGACTTAATTTTGTAAAATACCTTATATGTTCTAATAAAGTCGATTTAAATATATAAAAAAAAAAATAGTATGGGTTCAAATAACTTCAATGCAACTTTTTGGGAAAATTGTGATTTTTGTCCTCTAAATTGGCTACTTTGAGAATTTATTCATATAATTAAGTTGAAGAGTTTTAATGTTAATGCAATATCTTTATCAAAATTCAAAAAATAATGGAAGATGTATTAAAACATTGCGTTCAATTTTCACCCATATATAAGAAACCGCTTAATTTCACTTTGTACTCTTAAAATTAAATATTTTAGCACTTTGCACCCAACACAATCAATCATTCACAATGCACCCTAAATTGAATATTTAAAAATTAACGAGGGCAATTTTGTTTTTCTATTGTTTTTTGGGTAAATTACAAACACCCCTGAGGTATGGTCAATTTACGAAAAAACCACTCTTGTTTGGATAATTACATCTACCCCCTCAGCTATGATTTTTTCTTACACCTCCACCCTTATGGTGTCAAAGTCAACATAATCATCTAAATTTCGTGAAATGTACTCCAGATTGTATTCGTTTTGTGTAAAAATACAGTTTCTGATGCACCACAATCTGATATATACGAGCTTAAAAACACATATTATGATCATCTTGCTTTAAATGTGGAGTTCGAATAGAATAAAACAGGTACAAAAGTGATAATAATCCATATAATCTCGAAAATTTCACGAAATTTCAAACCGCAAGGGTGGACGTGTAAAAATATTTATAGTTGAGGGGGGTGAGTGTAATTATCCAAACAAGATGAGTTTTTTTTAATTTGACCATACCTCAGGGGGTGATTGTAATTTACCCTTGTTTTTTTCTAGGGTGCAAAATAACAAATTAAATTATCATTGTCCTCAACCTCCCACCTAATTCGAGCATACAAAGTGCAAAAAAAAAAAAAAAAAAAAAAACAAAAATCACATGGATTTACTGAAAAACTATAATTTTCTTACAAAAATAAAATAAAATAAATTTTGCTCACTAAATTATTCGATTGATGGATTCATTGTAATTGGTAAAATATTTGCTAGAATTCTTTGGGAAAAAAATATGATTGTAAATAACTTGGTAACAAAGTAGCTGATAGATTATTTTTTTGGTTTGTAAAATATTGTTTTTGAGAAAAAAAATATAATTTTTAAATATATTGATAAGAGATGTACTTTTATTTCATCATTTTGCAGTTTCGAAAGCATTAATGAATATAAATATGACGATTTGACATTTAACACCCTAAAAAAAATATCATTAGAAATATTAAATCACTTTCATTAACTTTAATAATTCACTCGGGTGCATTATGCATGATGTATTGTGTTTCGATAATGCAAAGTATTATTAATTTTTTTTAGGGTGCAAAGTGCAAAAAGATATATTTCAATGGTGTAAAGTGAAATTAACCCTATAGGAAACACATAAAATAGACCGTGGTGGGGTTAGGGGTTGGGGGGTGGGGGGGTGGGGTGGTATGAGTAGGTTATTATGAGAGTCTCGATGTGGCATGGTGAGAGTTATACAAGTATTGCTACTATGTTATTTATTTATATATGAATATTTATTTCTTATTTTATTAGATATATATATATATATATATATATATATATATATATATATATATATATATATATATATATATATATATATATTATAAGAAAGCCGAATAAAGCCATGATCACCGGCTCACTCTTCTCCTGTTTGTTCTCCCACTGGTCTATATATAATATAATTAATTGTAGACTAAAGTTTCCGGTAAACAAGTTCAAACCAAATTGGTTTATTTATTTATTTTGGCATTTGCAGTAATTCATAAAAACAAAAAAAATCTAACCAATTTGGTTTATTTATTTGGCATTTGCAGTAATTCATAAAAAAAAAAATTCTGAGTTGTAATGTGTTAGAGTAAAGTTTAAACGGCACGTAAATTACTTTAACGTGGTTCGGACACATAATATAAGTATTATACATTTACGAGTACCTAAACACAGTATTGCAGTAATTTAGTTTCACGATATTAGGATTTGCTCCTCAAATCTACACTGTTGAACGTCCTCCGACTCTGAATCTCTTCCGACGACAGATCGATTTCCTCCTGGAATCTTTACAATATCATCTATCACTTAAAAGTTTTCAATATGATATAAAATAGATTTCCAATTCAAGTGAAACCAATTACAATTAGACATTCGATGATTAAGTTTTTTCAACAAGCAAAGAGTTATTCTCAATTCTTTTAAATATTGTCCTTCAAATAACTTACCTTTTTTATCAACTAAAATAACTTACTTTACTATGTATCTACATACTAAAATGACACCGCGCTCTCCTTCTTCGTCAACTAAAACACGCTTATACATCATAAAGTCCTATTTTTTATTTTATTAATTTTAATCGAAAATAAAGTCCCATTTATTGCATATACCCTTGGATCTTGCTGGTGTTTTTTGTGACCAAATATCCCACTTAAGTCTTAGAAGAATGCACAATCAAATGCAGGTATATGGAAAGAAAATCTAAATTCCAAACCAAATAATAACATAAAAAAAGGAATTTATAAATAGGTTAAATTACAGCCACCCCTTGAAGTAACGTTAAATTACAAAAAAATCCCTCTCGTTTGCATAATTACAATTACCCATCAACTATAAATTTTCTTACAAGTACATCCTTATGATGTTAAATTTAGCAGAATCTTCTAGATTATGTGGAATATTCTCCAATTTGTACCCGTTTTATCCTGTTCGAGCTCTACATTTTGAAACAAGATAATCATGAGATGTGCCTCTCGGCTTGTAAAATATCAGATTGTGGTGCATCTGAAACTGTCTTTTTTTAATTTTTGCACAAAACGAGTACAAACTAGAGAATATTTCATATAATCTAGAAATATTCTGTTGAATTTAACACCGTAAAGTGAACGTGCAAAAAATTCGTAATTGAAAAGAGTGACTAAAATTATCAAAGCATGAGGGTTTTTTTCGTAATTTAATTTTTTACTGCACATGTTGCCGTAATTTACCGTTATAAATAATAAAAATAATTAAATTAAAATTGATTGGATTCGAAAAAGAAAGACCGGTAGCCCGGATCTTAAGCGAGCTTGCTCCAGACAAAATTTCTTCTGCGCAGAGCAAAAACAAAGTCACTGCTCCCATATTTTACTGTTTCTTTTTCATTTATTTAATTAAATTATTTCACACTCATCAAACACTTAATTTTTTATTTCAAATTTCACACACACACACACACACAAATTAAAAAAAAAGAAAAAAAAAAGTGTATGTATTTTTTCCCCTCTGGTTTTACGCCGAATGGCAGATTGAACCGCCTCTTTCCCCCATTATATTCCTCCACCTGCCCCCCTCCTTCTTTCTCTCTCTTCTTTCTCTCTCTACTGTTATAATTTGTTCACTAGTCATTTACAGCTACTATATCTAACCTACACTCTCTCTCTCTACATTTTCATTTTCTGGTTTAAGTGTAATTATTCTTCCTTCAACTTTGCATGTGCCCTTCTCTTGTATATTCAAAATCACACCACCCCCTTTCTAGGGTTTTCGTTCATCATCATCTCATCAAATGGCAAATCCGTAATTAATTAACAAGCCAAGGTAAAAAATATTTCTTTTTAATTGTTAATCTGTTATCATTATTTGTAGTGCTGAATTAATTTGTTTGTTCTTGGCAGATTCTGAAGAAACACTACACAAAGGGATCAAGAAATTATAAAAAAAATAAATGGCACCGGATAATAATAACAACAACTGGCTATCATTTTCTCTCTCATCAATGGAAATGCTGAACAGCAGTTCTTCTTCTTCGTCGCAGCAGCAGCCGCCGGTGAATAATGATTCCGATCAACATCAGTTCTACTCTTCTTTCGCCGATAATTTCTATGCCAACGGTACTTCAGTTCATTCAAACACACTCACACACACACACCCGTGCGGGTGTGTGTGTTTGTGTATTATCAGCTTTTTTGGAAGCATGTAATAAATTAAATTAATTGGAAAAGAAAAGAAAAAAATAAAATAAAAACCCATCCGTGTTTAATTTAATTTCCGTTTGTTTTGCTGAGCGAAACAAGTTTGAAAAAAAGCGTATACGGACAACAAATTCCACCCGTGTTTCTTCATTTTCAGTTACTCCTCTATATATACATACATATATATATGTATGTATATATATATATATATATCTATGTATATATATTTGCTTATCTTCTTTGTTTGAGTTGTACTGTTTTTTTTGAATAATTAATTTTTTTTGATTTTAGGGTGGCCTATGATTCAAAAAGCTCAAGATATGTACGCTGAAAACCAACACCTGCAAGAACACGGCGGCGGCGGCGGCGGCGGGGGTTCCGTTTTCGCCACGGCGGCATACATGCAGCCGCCGAAGCTGGAAGATTTTTTCGCCGGCGGCGGAGACTCGACAGAGACGCAGGACGACTCGTCCTTGACCCACATCTACGACCACCACAACCACCACCACCACCACGCCGCCGCATACTTCAGCAGCAACGAGCACCAAGATCTGAAGAGTACTACTTACACCGGGTTCCAAGCGTTCTCGGCGAACTCGGGCTCGGAGGTGGACGACTCGGCGTTCGGAGGCCAGACTCAGTCGTCGCCGATTGAGTCACCCGGCGGCGATTTGGTTGTCTACTCGCACTGCCCCGTCGCAGCCGACGCCATTAACAACAACGCTCTATCTCTCGGAGTTAATTATAATAACAACAACAAAAAGGCAGGCGCCGCCATTGTTGCTGCTGAATCGGAGGGCTGCAAGAAAATCGCAGATACTTTCGGACAAAGAACTTCCATTTACAGAGGTGTCACTAGGTATATAATTAATTAATTAATTAATTAAACCCTTCTTATTTATAAATTGTTTTAATTAAATGAAATTAAATTATTTTGGATTTATTTATTTATTTAAATGTTGAAATAATAATTGCAGGCATAGATGGACGGGAAGATATGAAGCGCATCTATGGGACAACAGCTGTAGAAGAGAAGGCCAAGCAAGAAAAGGCCGTCAAGGTACAACTTTCATTCTTTCTCTGCTAATTCAAGTTGTACCTTTACTGCCAAAAAATAAATTAAATATCAATTAATTTATTTTTAATTTATTAAATTGGGATTTTTTTATATTGATGATTGATTGACTGGAAATGATGATACAGAAATTGTACTGTAGTACTTGATATTTCGTTCAAATCTATCACTGATTTGATGAGATGGGCCGCCATTTTTTTTCATCTTTCTACCTCCAAAAAAAAAAAAAGAGTATTTACTGCCGCCCTTCAGGTAAAATCAAATTACAAAAAAAAACCGTTTGATTTGGGTAATTACAATCAGCGCATCAACTACAATTTTCTTACGCGTCCACCTTTATGGCCGGTGTCGAATTCAACAGAATTTTTTGGATTCCGTGGAAAAAACTGCTGTTTCTGATGCACATCTTATGATCGTTTCAAAATGTGGAGCTCGAATGGAGTGAAAAACGGGTACAAACCGGAGATTATTCAACAAAATCTAAAAGTTTCCACTAAATTTGACACCCGAGTGTGGCAAAGGTGGATGTGTAGGAAGATTCATAATTGAGCTCGAATTCGAATGAAGCATTTTTTCGTAATTTGAACTTACTTCAAGGTTGACCGTAATTCACCAAAGTAAAAAAAAATTAATTGTTCTTTGGATTCTCTTCACGATTTTCGTACATGGAAACTTTTGTCCACGAGTTCTTGATCTTGTCTGTAAACTAGTACTAGCCTACTAGAAGATTATTAAGAATGCATATATGTAATGTATTTTTTGTCGATGTTTTTGGTCAACTTTTTTTAATTTTTATTTATTGTTATTTTCTATTATTCGGGTGATTTTCTAACGAGCTTATTAACTGTCTTTGCATGAATCGGGATCATCTTACTCGACGCTGCTGGACATTTGTGTATTACAATACAGTGTACTTGGGTAAGTAATTAATGTTTTTAGCACCTCTATATTTTGCTATTCGTGTATTTACGCATAATAATAATTTTTCGACCAAGATTATTTATATTCAAAATTGTTGTGTAGGTGGTTATGACAAGGAAGACAAGGCGGCAAGAGCGTACGATTTAGCCGCTCTCAAGTACTGGGGTGCCACCGCCACCACTAACTTCCCGGTAACTAATACATCTCGTAACTACATTTAATCTGCATAATTAATATCATATATCCATCGATTAACCATATAAATTAATTCGCCTTTTAGATTTCAAATTATACCAAAGAACTCGAGGAGATGCAGCATGCAACTAAACAAGAATTCATAGCCTCGCTTAGAAGGTTTGATTTGATTTTCTCCGTCACTCCATTGTTAAGCTCGTGAACGACTACAAAAAAAAAAAAAGAGCAATTAAGAGTTTCTAACAAATTATTTTTATTTGTTTTCTTTAGGAAAAGTAGCGGTTTTTCAAGGGGAGCATCGATATATAGGGGTGTTACAAGGTTTGATTACATTAAGCACTTGTGAATTTCGACGCATTCAATTGCGAGCTTAGTTTTCTTGAAAATTATTTTTTCCGAAGGTTTAATTTATATAAGTCGTGAATATGCAGACATCATCAACAAGGTCGATGGCAAGCAAGGATTGGTCGTGTTGCGGGGAATAAAGACCTCTACCTTGGAACATTTGGTATGTAAGCTTAGTTAATTAATTCCGTTTACTCGACTTAATCAAGTTGATAAATTGGCTTTCGAAAAAAAAAAACATTTTACGGTTTATTGCATTCAACACACCTGTGTTTCCTTTAATTGCTAAAAAAACTACTGAGTGTTATTTTACTCCAAAACTGCATCCCAAAAACTCACTATATATTTAGGGGGTAATATGCTAAAAAAATGCATTATAAGGGGTTTTTTTTGTTGCTAATTTTAGTAACACAAGGAAAGTTATTGCTCTATCAATAGTCATTAGTCGAGCATCGGCTATAGTTATCGATTTTGTTTTTAATTTTAATTTAATTTAACTATGCAGCGACGGAGGAGGAAGCGGCGGAGGCGTACGACATAGCGGCCATAAAATTCAGGGGACTAAACGCCGTCACGAATTTCGAGATGAACCGTTACGACGTGGAAGCCATCGCCAAAAGCCCTCTTCCGGTTGGTGGTGCCGCAAAGCGCTTGAAACTCTCCCTCGAATCCAATGATATGGACGACAATCTCAACCATCCTTCAAGCACCGCCGCCGCCACTCAAACCACCACCAATATTAGTTTCTCCACCACCGTGCAACACCCGGGCTCTGCCCTCTACCCGTACGGAGTGCCGTTCGACACGACAACGGCGGCGGGGGCTCCGTTCTACCACCACAACCTCTTCCAACACAACATGAACCACCACCAACACCACGTGGGCCCCACCGAAGCCGCTTCGACGCAACCACCTATGAATCACATGATGATGCAGTCACCCCAGGAGTTTTTCATCTGGCCCCACCAATCGTATAATTAATGATATGACATGACATAAGCTCTCTATAGTTTGTTAGCTACATTAATAGGTCTTAATTCTACTAATCGTCTTTTTTAACATGTAGCTTGGTATCGATGTCTCGATAAGTTTACGGTTTTAGTTTGATTATAGGGGTTTAAGGTTTTTTATTTAATTTTTAGATGTAATGTTGAATGTATGATAGGAGGAGGCGCTTCTTTGGTATGGATTAATTTTCAACCTGTTTTCCATTGCCACATAAGGGTGCAACCTTTGTTGAACTAGATCAATTTTGTTGAATTGACATATATAAAGTCCATACTTATTATTAATCCATACTTCTTAGAGGGGCTCTCATTTTTTTCTTGCAAATTACGACCAAATCCTCTCCTGTTTGGTTAATTACAACCATCATCTCACCTATGTATTGTTTCCATTTTAGGGCGTCATATTTACTATTAAATGAAGGGGTTATTTGTAAATTGATCTTAAAGTGTCGGACTTTTATTTTTTCAATCATTTGATGGTCATTTTCAAGAAGCTTGACTTGTTTTGTGGAAAGTTTGTGAAAAGCTAAAATGGGATTGGTGAATATGGTTGGATAAAACTCTATTTTTAGGCATTGTACTATGTATCTAACGGTCTATCTATATTCTATACTATATTGGGTGAAATACACTGGGTAAATCTTTACTATTTATATATACACATACCTATATTGGTATGTGTAAATCAATCGCGAAAAATCATCCGATATAATCTACATCGGGTGTAACATAGAAATAATCGTATCAAACTCTTGCTGCTTTTAAGGTTTTAGATCATTTTGGATAATTATAAGTTGAATGTAATATTTTATTTAGGGGAAATTTTCTAGACACTTTTGATAGATATAAGGTCATAGATGTCACATCCGATAAAATACACAGAGTCATTTTAAAGCGTACATGTATACACATTATCACCAATTAAACACAAAACACTGTATTTGTTATTATGTGTAAATTTATAGTTTAAGATCATCCACGGTATATTCGTTATTATGTGAAAATTTATAGTTTAAAATTATCCAATATATGTCATCGGGTGTAGCATCTACAAAACTATCGAAGCTTAACAAAAATCATAAATTTTAAAAGTTACAAAAGTTATTCCAATGTAGAGGTGATAACTCAAAAAAAGAAAAAAAGAAAAAAAAAACACAAATTATGGGCCGACTCGGCCCAAACCGTCACGGGCCTCCACAAAACCGGGGTCGATTTACAGCGCCGCCGCAAAAGCATTTGTTGCGTCTTCTTTCAACCCCTTAATTTCATAACACCGGCCCAACAAGCAAAACGCTTTACAATTATCCGGGTTAAGCTCGACCGCTACGACCAGGTCTAAAATCGCCGAGTCGACCAGATTTACAGGGCCCAATAAGGCAAGGCATAATAGAGTTGGCCCACACCCAAAGGAGGAGATAGGACCACATAGGATCCGAGCTTACTTGACGACTTCAGCGGACTTCGATAAATGGCCCAAAACATTGGGCCCGCAAGGGTAAGGCCCAAAGAATAGACGTTGTCAGCGGATGACAAGTTAGGAGACCTCCGACGAGCATGGGACCGGAGAGCTCTCCGACGAGCTAGGAGACCATTGACTAGCTGACAAGTGCCAAGCGCCGAGTGACGAGTGACGAGCGGATAGTAGCTGATGAGTGCCGAGCATCGAGTGTCGAGTGCCGAGTGAAAAGTAGCTGACGTGTCGAGTGACGAGCCGCCGAGTACCGAGCGCTGAGTGATGAACGCCGAGCTGAATGTGCCAGCTCATAACTTAAACACTAAGGAATATGAAATATCTTCGTAACTTAACCACTAAGACTCATAAAGTGCTATGGACATCAAACGATCCTATTAATCGAATTGGATAATAGGAGTGATATCCGGAAATTCTCTCCTATAAATAGAGGGTTTATCACCCTCAAGGTAAGTATTCTTATCATTTTCTCTCGAACATATTTCTTTCCAAATCTTTGAGGTGTTCTAACTCAGGCCTAATATGGTACGGATTTGAAGATTCGAGTTTCCTGAAGCGGTCAACCCTTATAAGACGTCGATTTTTCAATCATACACAATATTCAAGGCAAAATTCGTGGGTTCAATCCAAAATATGGTTTTCCCTGTTCCGCCAAGTTTAGAATTAAGGCATCTTTTTCGTTATTTCCATTCCTCGACCTTTCTCCCACTGGTTTTTTACTGGCCCTATTATTTCTAAAAATAAATAGGTTGGATGAATAGAAAGGCATGAGCAAACTCATTAGCAAAGCCCGCTGAGTAAGATTTTCTATTGTCCATACGCATAAAATCGTTAATCTTTGCTATTCATAGATCGCTGATATTAACTAGTCAGTGAAAATGATTATATCTAAAGAGAGGTCAATGGGGTTGCGAGAATAGAATGAGAAAATTTGTGTTATTGGGAATTGCAATTTATTTTACATTGCTCAAAAGGTTTCCCTAAGTAATTAAATATAGCCTTCCACCTCCGAAAGGAGTGCTAATTTGCTGAAATTGAAAGTATGTTGTTTGATATATAAAGATAATAAAGAAGACATAAATGAAATCAGCTTTTAAATACTCCGTGTAGCAGGAGAATATGTTGAGCATCTTACATAATATAAGTAAAATATTTAAGTTTTGAATTGTTTGCCGTTAAATAATTTTGAGTCATTGTAACTAATCACTCTGCTATTTGATGTTAATTTCGTGTGGACGAGACTTGTCACCATCGTGTTGAGTAAGTTGAACCCGACGGTGGCATGGTGGAGGATGATGAATTAAAGTCAGGGTGGCTTGTCGGAAGCTACTCTCTCGTGGCCCAAACAAGAGTCGGAATCACAAAACTTAACTCATTAGAACCGACGAAGAGAGAACGGACCAATAGCACCTAGTTACTTGAAGAACCAACGACGGGAGATAAGTTTTTTTGAAATAAATTTATGATTCAATATACTGCACTTATTTTTGTGTTCTTGCTTTATTGGAATACATAACTGATGCCCTGAGAATTATTAATTCCCCAATTGATAGTTGGAGCTTGAGATGTTTGCCTGGGCTGTTATGTTATGTGTAATGTGAATATCATGATAGTAACTCGTATTTTACCTGTTCTTAGTGTGTTCAAAAGCGGAGTCATAAAAAAATATATGAGTTAACAATGCTTACTTTTGGAAATTATAAGGCGCGACAGAGAGTAGTGTAAAAATCTACATGGTTATGAGATTAAATATTGAGTAGCATGGTGGTGAACTGTTAAGATTTGATAATTTACATGGCCCAAATATCTTGAATTTACGAGAAACACTGATGAACGAATAAAGTTGCCTATTTTAGCGTGATTTCTTAACTTCGAAACTCCTTGTCACGATTAGGCTGGAGAATTAAAACATCTGATTTATCTCTTAAATATGGATCCGCCATATGAGCAAAATATTTCGAGCATGAAAAATTATATTTTCGAGCTTGGATCTTCTAGAGCTCGATTTAGTTTTGTTTTTTCTTAATTCGAATAAATTTTGTGATGATCGAATTTGTACAAGTCGCATTTATCTTTTTAGTGGGCATTTCGGAAGCTCGATTTTGTTTGTAAAGAGTGGATCTTGGAAATTTTGGGTTACTCTGGCTCATGATTCCTGCAATCTTCTGGTTTTCTTTGGCATTTACTTTTCTACTATGATTTGTTGAAGCTGAATTATCTATTATTAGTTCCGTATCCTGTAGAATTTTCTAATTAACTCGACATTCTCTTGGGATAAATTTATTCTGGCAAGCCAAGTTCTCTTATATCCTGAAATATATCTTACTTTCTGCCAATCGAAAAAGCTAAAGATATATTCCTGCGAGCTTGAGTTAGTATTTTTCGGTGGACAATTCTTGTTGTCTTGAAAATTTGGATAATTTGGATTCGGCGAATATTTGTGTGACGCCTACTATCGAAATACACTGTACTTTTTTTTTTTTTTTTTTAATAAATAAATACAATGACTTCTACTCTCACTTAATTTCTCAACAATAAAATCAAATACACGTGACAACAAAATGCCACAACTGATCTCGTATTCATAGTTCTCGAATTACAATCATTCTTAAACACAACTCTATATCAAATGAACTCTCTAAAATATTTGAATAACTTCTACTCCTAAGAGCCATCAACAATATCGTCCACTAATGCACCTGTTACTGAGAATAAGAAGGAAAATAAAGGAGGAGTAAGTCCAAGTGGACTTAGTGAGGAGTACAAGGGAAAAACAGTCGAATCAAATAATAATCACAATATAAGTGTTCAAGGAATTGAAGTTGGAATTGGACCATCTAGAGAATGATCGTTCGATAAGGAATAAGAGGCCAAAGTATAAGGCACATCAATATGATCAGAATAAACAATAGAATCAATATATACAGGTAAAGAACAATACTCAACGGGTAATTTCCGGATATCAATTATGAATTTCGTGGTGATTCCCACGATAACAATTTCGGATATCAAATATGAGACCATGGAGATTCCCATGGTAACAATTTGTTCATGTACCTGTACCTGCCTTGTGACTCCCTTAGTCGTTACTACCTTATAACCCCGATCAGGGAGCTACCCTGCTAATTGATCAATAGGCATGCCCGGGCGCATGCCGATTCAGCCATCAGCACAGTTAATCTCCAACTATGCCAATGGTCTGAATCCAATATGGGTACTGTCGAAGAGACCATCCACCGTCGGCCCAATACCGCCAGGCAGTCTTTTTCGAATAGCCAGCCCCGGGCCCAACTGGTCAATTATCCTTAGGGCGTCCCCAAAGGAATCAATCATATATAGATATCGGATATGCTTCCGACTATCTCAATTTACAATTTGAATCCCAATAATGAATTCCACTTTGGAAAGAATCAATTTCATAGTTCAATAGTTTTGGGATTCCAATAACAAGTGATAATAATTTGTGGTCACGAAATCACAAGTCAAGAAAGGTACGATCGGTTTCAGTATAAGAGTGACCACAATTCAGGATCGTATAACAATTGATGAAGATGTATCTCAATCAACAATAGTCTACGGTTAAAATTGAATCCGTAGTTGTATAGCTCTAAAGATAAGTGGTTTCAAAGGATCAATGAGAAGTCAAGATATGAACGATCCATCAATTCTCAGTAGGTACGAAACGAGTGATTTAATGGATAAATAGAATAATCCTAAATGGTCCAAGAGTGGGGAAAAGAACGATTTACGTTTATTGAACCACTGTAGAAACAAATCAAATGATTTAATGAATCATAATAGAAGTGGTTCCAAC